CCCCTGCGCCTGGTGGGTATGCAGTCCCGGATGGAGCCGTGCGGGCGGGTTGCATAGTACAAAAGTGCGCGGCGTGAATCAGCCACCTGGTATAATTCAAACGCCTTAACAATTCTTTTTGTTTAATATCTTTTGCTTTGTTTCTTTCTGCAGGAGGGCTGGCCAAGTCGCAGTTCCCCGTCTTCACGCTCTTCGCGCAGAGGACGTGCCTGAGGGGCGCCAACGCGGTGGCCGGCGCGGGCGCCAAGGCGGGCGGCGTCACCGGCCGCCACTGGGCCTTCGAGACGGTGCGCGGCCACGTCCTCAGGACGTCGGTGCGGCGCCACCACCGCGTGGCCTCCCGCAGGGACTGCATGCAGCTGTGCCTGGACCAGCGGGACTTCGTCTGCAGGTGAGCAGCAGCAACGCACCATCCTCATCGTCGTCCTTAGGGACTTTAAAGCACGTTTTTTTTTCGGAAAAATTGAAAACTTTGAAAAATAAAAATAATTCCAGATAACATAAATAAATAAATAAAAAACTTTCAAAAAAATCCACACTTACAAAAGTTTTGAAAAATATACTCTTCTGGCAAATTAAAATCCCTAAAGTCGTCCTTCCTCGCCGGGGCTACTATGCTCGGAGTGGTAATTGATTCGCCGCTAGACGTGTCGTCCATCATCACGTCCGATCGACGCCGTGCTCCTTGGTGGCCGGCCGGACCCTATTATATCCTCATCGCTTCACACATACACACACACACACACACACACACACACACACATGCGATGCGCGCGACGCACGCGTTTAAGGTACCTTTAAATTACGCAGCCATGAAAAAAAGAGAGCCTTTCTTGCGCACGCAGCTTCATTTCCTCCTCTTGCGCGCCATTTCTTCCCCCCTCATTGTCTTCTTCCTCCTTGTTTCTTTTTGCCCTCTCTTTCTCTTCCTCCTCGCGTCCTTCCTCTTCCTTGTCATCCCCGCACATCCTCCGCACCTCGTCCTTGTTCCAAATCGTCCTTGTCCTCGTCGTCCTCGTTCACCACATCCTCTTCCCCGCGCGGCCCGCACGCCCGCTCCTCTTCCTCCTGCTCCTCCTCTCCTATTAGCAGGCCGTCTATTACCTCTCTAACTGACTGCCGCTGACGGCTGCCCCCCTCTCCTTTCCCCCAGTCCTGACAGGTGTGTGCGTCGCTCGAGTCGGTCTATTATCCGCGCCGCGATCTCCCGCCCCGCCCCGCCCCGCCCCGCCCCTGCCCGGCCGCGTGGCGGGGGGCGTAAGGTAGCCGGTCTAAAGGCGGCGGCCCGCGGCGGCTGCCCGTGTCGCTACCGCGAGTAAACAAACCCCTTGATGTGATGCCGTGCGCGCTGCGCTGCACTCGGCTACGCTGCACTCTGCACTCGGCTGCGCTGCACTCGGCTGCACTGCACTCGGCTGCACTGCACTCGGCTGCGCTGCACTCCACTCGGCTGCGCTGCACTCGGCTGCTCTGCACTCTTGCTGCTCTGCACTCTGCACTCGGCTGCGCTGCACTCGTCTGCTGTGCACTCGGCTGCGCTGCACTCTCCACTCGGCTGCGCTGCACTAGGCTGCTCTGCACTCGGCTTCTCTGCACTCTGCACTCGGCTGCGCTGCACTCTGCACTTAGCTTCGCTGTACTCGGATGCTCTGCACTCTGCTGCACTGCGCTGCGAGGCCCACCCGGTCCCTGTATACCCTCACCTCCCACCTCTCCACCTCCACCTTCAATACGAGATCCGAATCAAGTCACGCCGTCGGCGACGACGACGCCGCCCAGCCCGGCCGCGCCGAGCCAGCGCTATGAGAGCACTAAATTGGAAATACTTGCCTTTTTCATCACAATCTGCTGCGCGGCGGCCGCCGTGCCGCTGCAACAGGCGGACGGTGTGAATGGACTCCTGTTGTGCACACTACCCCCCCCC